CGCGTGCGTCCCGCCCGTCCGCGCGCTGTCCGTTTCACCCCAAAACCGGCGCAAACTTGGGCCGAAGATGGGTCGAAAGCGGACACAAAGCGGACAAAAATCCGTTTGCGCCCGCGCGTTGGGCCGTCTGGTTTGTCCGTTTTACCCAATCGGATGAGGACGAACAGGAAAGGGTCGCGCGGTGGAATCGGCTTGAGAAATGCGATCGAGCACACGCCTTGAAAGAGAGAAACGCGAGGGACGTTGTCTGACGTCGGAGTCGTCATATCAGTCTACCCGGCTCCTGACCAGGGGTGCCAATGAGCGGTACGCTAGGCAGCATACAGACGCATCGGCCGACAAGGTGGCGCTCGGCGTTGTATACTAGACAGCACGCAGACGACTCGGTCAGCGAGGGATTGACGACGGGCCGCAACGCAGCGAGCATGGCGGGTGCGTGGAGCCGTGCTGGGGGCGTTCGGTTCGGCGAGCGGAGGAAGGGTGCGCTGGAAACCTCTAACAAGCGCCGCTGCGCTCTGTAGTCGGGTCCTTAAAGTAGAGATGATCTACTACTTGGACAATCCTAAATGAGTATGTACAGGAAAGAGATGGCACCTGCAAATCAGTCAAATTAAAACTTGCAGACACGAACATACCTAGCATACTGTTTTTCTTTCCATGTGAACTCCCTGCTCAGCATGCTTAAGTTAAAGTGGATAAAGCTCCGCCTCATTCGCAACCGCGAGCGAAGAAGTGCTGCAGAAACTATTTGTTTGCAAATAAAACACTCATACTAATAGTGGAATCCATTGTAGCCTTCGTTCGGACCTTATCCCCTTCCCCCGAGCCGCTCCCGCGAGCGGACGGGGGAACCCGCGGCCGCCGCCTCCCAGTCCCTCTCCTCGGGGAGCCGGATCCCCTGGCGTACGGCCACCTGACGTTGGGCCACTGACGCGTGGGTCCGGGTCCACACGTCAGCGAGTGCGCCGTACGTTAGAGGAGCTGCGTCCTCTCCTCGGCCCCCCTCCCTCGCCGCCGCCTAGAGGCGTCGCCGGGCGAAGCCCGGTCGGCGCAGGCGGCGGCGGGCCTCTCCTTTCCCCTCTGCACGGAACCCCTAGCCGGTGCGGGACGGCTGGCCGCCGGGGGCGCTGCGCTATGGTGGGGTTTAGCGGTGCGGCGTCGGGCTCGCGGGGGAGCGGTGGCTCCGTCCGGTGGCGGCGCAGCCTCTCCAGGCGGCTTGGTTGCGGCACGGTGGCTGCTGGGGCAGCGGTCCAAGGTGGTGATGGGGACATCTGCTTCGGGTGGTTCGTGGGTGACGGCCCGGTCAGGTCCGGTCGGATCTGCTGCCGGTGGCCCGTCCAGTGGCAAGGGCTGAGGCCAGCAGGGGCCACGGGCGACCGGTACTGCCGTGGATCGTTTGGCGGTGCTGGTGGCGTGGCTGCGGTGGTGGAGGTGCGTGTGCGTCTTGGCGTTTGGCTGGGCTTCTCTTCCTGGACGACGGCGTGCGGCGTGGGAGGGCTTGCTTGGGCCCGTCCTTGGTGGCGGTGGCGGCGGATCAACCATCCTTCTTTGGCGGACGGGCGGCTGTTGGTGGTCTCTCATCGGTCAGTGCCGGTATCTGTGTTGGGGCGACGTGGTTGAGCTGCCCGTCGCCGGCACAGGGGGTGCCGGTCGTGGCCGTGTGCCGCTCCTTCCCCTTCCTCCTTCCCTGACATGGTGTTTTCTGTTCGCTTTCCTGTGATGCTTGAGGCGGGATAGTCGCTGCCGATTCCGATGGTGGTTGGGTTTGGTGGAGCTGTCCAAAGCCTTCCCCTTTGATGGTCTTAGGGCAGCCTGGGTGCAGGGAGATGGGAGACGTGTTGGTCTTGGACAGACTGCGCGACTCGGGTGTGGGCGAGCAAACATGGCCGCTCGGGCGGCATGGTTGCAGGTGGTTGTCGGAGAGGGGTTGCATCGGAGGGGTCAGAGCAACGGGGTTTATCACCTGCCCGGTCCTTGGACTAGCCGATGGCGGTGGCGACTGCGGTCGTCGTTTCCTCCTTGCAGGCTCAGTCGCGGTGCTTCTACTCCCTTCGTGTTGCTCCGGGCGAATGCTTGATCCGCGAGGATCGGACGGTGGCGGCTGTCCATGGTCGTGCCCTTCTTGGAGGCACCATTTTGGAGTCCCGCCCCGACATTGGCCGTATCACCTCTCCTCGGTGGATTGCACTTGTGGTGGTCTTCGTCGGCTCAAAGCGGTTCTTCTTTGCTTATTTGTAGTGTGCTTCATAGTCGTTGGGGTAGTGTGTCCGTGTCCGGCACCCTTGTATCTTGCCTTGGGTGTGTGTGTGGTTGTGTGGTGGTGGCGTGTGTTTGTATCGGTGTTCTCGGATATTGCGGTGTTGGTTGCTTTCTATATATAAAGCAGGGTAAACTCTTTTTCGTAATCCACTGTAGCCAATCCACTAAAATATATACCTCGGCGGAGTGCACGTCAGATCGTCATTTATACCATTTTTATGCAAGCATTCCTTTTCTTTTTATCAACAACACTAAGCTGCTGAAATACAAAAAATACTGACTAACTGCCATAGAGCAATCTGCTCTCTCAAGGTTACAAAATATGAGCGATTTGAGGGCTAAAAGAACGGATCAAACCAACTATAATTTGTGGTCATTTAAATTAATGCTTTTAGAAATCTTGGCCAAACACATGCATGGTATGCACAAACTAGACTTGAATACTTGATGCATAACTAATTAATAGGAAAAGGAGTTTAACCTACTACTTATAGAACAGTGGTACCCATGTATATTAATTATATTGATACATACAGATGCGTATAAATATCATCAAGAATGTCATACATTTTACCATAGCAAAATACAGAAGCAGAGAAGGGAAGTGAGAGAGGAATTACTGTACTTCTATCGCCATCTTGGCACTAACTATATGCAGCAACCTGCATGGATTCGAGGATCTCGCTTAAATGCCATCGACGCAGCATTACAAACTCTAACTAAGCCATCTTCCAGATTAATCGATGGGAAAAAGAATTGTTTTCTTTTATTTTCACAATAATAGTTTTGGCAAAAGGTGGCACCCCAATGATTAGTAACAAACATTTTAAACAACATGTAGAGAGAGAACAAGCCGATGATTCCAATTGCATATATCTTCATCAGTGCGTGAATTCCAATCAACATGGTGAGCAGCTGTTACTTGCCAAACAATGAATTAAGGAAAATAAGAAAAAGGATCAATTGTACCACCAAAACTGGAAGTTCCAAGTAGCTGCCACTTGTCAAATTCTGATCGAGCATAGGATTTACCGAAGGAACAATCCAACAGAACAAGCTGAGTGAGCCCTATGTGCCCCGGAAGGACCAATCACAGCAAAACCTGTAAACACAACACACAATCTTAAGTGCAAGTAGAAGGAGAAAACCCACAAAACAACAAAAATGGTGCACTGGAATCCACTATGAGAAGATACTTCTGAATATGGGCATTGATAAGAGAAAGCACACCAGACAACAAATATTGTGCGCTGGAATCTACTCTGAGCAGATACCTGTAAACAAAGGGCATTGATACGCGTTGTTGCTACTTTATAAGTACCAACATGATCAAGACATTCCTGCACACAAAGGCACAGCTACACAACATTTGTTTCCATATTCCACAGATCACAATCCCAAGGAATTAACATGTTGGGGAACTGGTCAGTTGGGCTTTGTGACTGCTTCAGCGATTCCGGCACCTGTACGGACAACTATCCCTCATGCTCTTCTCGCACGTCCTTATGGCATATGCATTATGGGGTTTATAAGACTTCATTTCACTTATATCTCGATGCTCCATGTTTTGTTGCTAATGTTACAGGTTGCTTGACTTGTTGGTGCCCCTGCATTACATTTGGACGCATTGCCAAGGTTGTGGACGAAGGTTCATCATGTATGTGCTTCCTTATATTTTACGCTGGGGATCAAGCATAAAGAATGCCCATATCTTGTTGGCTAACTACCCTTGTTTTCAGCATGCTGCATGCATGGGACCCTCTATCTTTTGCTAGGGTCCGTAGGCTGGAACTGGTTGTATTCTTGTACCAAGCGCACCTCAATGCGCGCACAATACAACTTCCCAGGGTCACCCTACATGGACTGCCTTGTTCACCTGTGCTGTGAGAGGTGCGCGCTATGCCAAGAGTACAAAGAGCTGGAAAATCGCGGCTTCAACATGTCCAAAGGTATCTCTCCTTCTTACTGATACAAGATACTATAAGATAAAACATTCCTGTTCACAATACATGCCTTGATGACTAAAATACTAACTTGTGATCTGCATCACATTTGCAGGAAAGATGATGGAAAGCATGGCAGCACCAGAAAAACAAGGGATGGATGCACTTTTAGACCGCGAATAAATTCAGAATTTGATGGCTGTGATGGTTGGCACCTGTCTTCAACAGTTCTCTGTTAATCTTCATTTCCCAATCCCAAGCCACATTTGGGTTTCAAGTTGTTAAATCTCCTTTTTATGTAACCTTGTGTTTCGGTTCATTTTTCTTACTTCTATTTCTGTCCAACACCACCAGGAATATATGCAATATAAATATCTATTCAGTGAGCAAGCTATAAATTGTTTTTGCATTATGATGTAAAATATATCCCTAATTTCCAAAATGAAATGACTCATTAGTGCACCACTCAGTTTCAAACTGGCATAGGCAAACAAGTGTTCACTTAAGGACAAGGCATCATCCAGGTACAGTTTAACTGATTGACAGAACATGGATGAATTTTTGTGAAGTTCTGCTAAGTGCTAACTACAGAACCTCATTATTGCAACGCCAAAAATGACTAGACAAAACATGGATGAATGTTTGTAAAGGTCCAGTATCTCTAGAAAACCTCATGACAAAGCCAAAAATGCACACAGGAGTTGAACTATAAAAATACTTTGTCCTAATCAGCATAACAAACACTTGGGAAAATGTTTAAAATCCAGGGAAATGTACCTCAAATATGCTCCTCACTGAAGTTCCATTTCTTGGGATAGTGATATCTGCTATACAAAACATACTCCACAGGAAGGCTACGACTCTAACTGTCCTCAAATATCAAACAATATCACGGTGCTCTGTTCTGTAGTTAGTCAACTGCACATGCTTGTATGCAACATTTTGTTCTCATGGGTTCTGTTCTCTCTGACGATATAAGACCAGTCTGCTTTGGCATTTCACTTGCAAGTTCCTGCAGGTCTTTCGATCTTGATCACACACATTGTCAACTGATTTCATCCATGTGTTTGGTTTCCTCGACAGAAATCACTTTTACCCCATCATTTATTCTGATGTGTGATTGCTGTGGTACATGGTACGATCTACCGAAAGATCAAACTAACTTGCTGGAGGTATTTTGCAGTTCTTCAATCACAATGTTCTTGCAGGAAACACTAGCAGGTCAGGAATATATTCCCTTTGACAAGCAATAAGCCCACAACCACCCAAACTATTCCGACCTGCAGATGGATACGGTCTTGCCTCTTGCCTTGGTAGCAATATCCCTCTTAATGCATCCATCAGTCACTGCTTTAATGCACTGCAAAATATCACCCTTGGTGATTCGTGAACAATGTGTATGAGGGAAGGGCCTCAGAGTCAGACCTGCATACACCAATAGCCGAACAACACTTATAAAACCTCCGTCTTTCCTCCCTCTTCTCCGCGCTATCCAAGCGGACCACTGCGTCTGCAGACCTTCCTGCATCAGCTCCCTGAGTCTATCCTTATTCCTTCGCCGCCATCCCACCACTGGATCCTTCACTCTCAGCTCGGACCCCAAGACATGATTCAGAGCCGATGCATATAATGCTATAAGTTCGGGGTGCCGCACTTGTTAAAGTGTTCGGACTTCTCACACCATATTGAGGGGTACTAAAGCCCCTGACGTATTTTGGCCGTACCAAAGTGTACGGGTGCAACATGTCGTTAAGGAACATATATTTGTAAAAAAAGAGTAATGCAAAAATAGACAAAAGCTATGCATTGTTTATTAAAAAGGGCTGCGATCAAAGCAGAACGATACAAATAATGCGATAAGCAAAAGGTTGGACTATTTAACATGTCCATTCCAGGGGCAGGCTGCGGAATGGTATGTGAAACAGGTATACTGCTCGTGATAGAGACCACCTGGGAGTTCTGTAATGCGGCATGGCTTGTCTGCTTCCTTGGTTCTTGCATCGTTTGTGCGGCAATTGAACTGCCGAACAGCCCTTCTGAAGAATGGAGTCCTGAAAGTAAGAGAAAATTAAAAATCGGCAGCCCCTGGTGCGGTTTAAGCCGTGTTTCGGGTGTGCCGTGATGGTGCCCCTCCCTCTGTACCCATGGTATTTCTAGAGCGTAGTTATGTACGCGAAGCACTAGCGTCGCATTTTTGTGAGGGTTGGGGTTGGGGTCGCATTGCTACGCCTGCTCGGAACGTGCCAGGCGGTCTTGTTGTAGGTTACTCCGGGCGCGCTTGACGGTGTCCGGACGTTTAATGGCCGGACTAGAGAACTGCCTGGAGAGGCTGCTTTGTACTTCCGCTGCAAGGGCCGCCGTGTGCTCCTCCGTTTGGAGGGAGCGTTCGGTGTTTCCATTGACCGTAATTACTCCTCGAGGGTCTGGCATCTTGAGCTTAAGGTATGCGTAGTGAGGTACCGCGTTGAACTTGGCGAATGTGGTTCGCCCGAGCAGTGCGTGATAGCCACTGCGGAATGGGACTATGTCGAAGATTAACTCCTCGCTTCGGAAATTATCCGGAGATCCGAAGACCACTTCAAGTGTGACTGAGCCTGTACAGTTGGCCTCTACACCAGGTATTACGCCTTTAAAGGTCGTTTTGGTGGGCTTAATCCTCGAGGGATCTATGCCCATTTTCTGCACTGTATCCTGGTAAAGCAGGTTCAGGCTGCTGCCGCCGTCCATAAGGACTCTAGTGAGATGAAATCCGTCAATAATTGGGTCTAGAACCAATGCGGCGAATCCGCCATGACGGGTGCTAGTGGGATGGTCCCTTCGATCAAAGGTGATCGGGCAGGAGGACCATGGGTTGAACTTTGGGGCGACTGGCTCTACCGCATATACGTCCCTTAACGCGTGCTTCCGCTCCCTCTTGGGCATGTGGGTTGCGTATATCATGTTCACCGTCCGCACTTGTGGGGGAAAACCCTTCTGTCCGCTGTTGTTCGGCGGCCGGGGCTCTTCGTCGTCATCGCTATGCAGCCCCTTGTCGGTATTTTTGGCATTTAACTTACCTGCCTGCTTGAACACCCAACAATCCCTGTTGGTGTGATTGGCCGGCTTTTCGGGGGTGCCATGTATCTGGCACAAGCGGTCGAGTATTCGGTCCAAACTGGACGGGCCCCTAGGATTTCTTTTGAATGGCTTTTTCCGCTGACCGGATTTATAGTCTCTGAATCCGACATTAACTGCCGTATACTCAGCATTGTCGCCGTTAATGTGGCGCTTCTGCTTGTTGCGACACGACCTGCCACTACTGTCCCTGGTATTTGAATTACCAGGGTTCTTCTCCCGCGCAAAAGCGGGTCATGAGTGTCGTGAGTGCTACCATAGATTTCGGCTTTTCCTGTCCAAGGTGCCGGGCAAGCCACTCGTCATGGATATTGTGCTTGAAGGCTGCTAGGGCCTCTGCGTCTGGACAGTCGACTATTTGATTTTTCTTTGTTAGGAACCGTGTCCAGAATTGCCTGGCCGATTCCTCTAGCTGCTAAATTACGTGGCTTAGGTCATCGGCGTCTGGTGGTCGCACATAAGTGCCCTGGAAATTGTCGAGGAATGCGGCTTCCAGGTCCTCCCAACAACTGATTGATCCTGCTGGCAAGCTGTTAAGCCAATGCCGAGCTGGTCCTTTAAGCTTGAGTGGGAGGCATTTGATGGCATGGAGATCATCGCCGCGGGCCATGTGGATATGAAGGAGATAATCCTCGATCCATACCGCAGGATCTGTTGTGCCATCATATGATTCGATGTTACGGGTTTGAAACCCTCGGGGATTTGATGATCCATTACTTCGTCTGTGAAGCATAGTGGGTGTGCGGCGCCTCTGTACTGGGCTATATCACGACGTAGCTCCAATGAGCTTTGTCTACTGTGTTCGGCCCTACCGGATTTGTGTCCGGTGTGACGGTTACCGTCTCGAGTCGTGGGGCGCCCACGCGATCCGTAGATCAATCTTGTTTGCCTTGCCTTGTCCTCCAACATGTCTCACAGGTCAGGCACATTTTCCCGTGCCTTGGTACGGGGTGCGGCTTGAGTGGAGGGCCGAGAGGCCTCTCTATCGCGGCCATGAGGTGGCCGGTCGTCTGTATCAAGTGCTGGTGATGTAGGTTTAAGTGCTTCCTCCTCTAATCGGGGTAGCAACCTGCGCTTTGGGTAGCTCTTGAAGGGACGTTCGAGTTTATGCTCTTCGGTCGCAAGGACTTCAGTCCATCTGTCGACTAGCAAATCTTGATCAGCTCTAAGCTATTGCTGTTTTTTCTTGAGGCTTCTTGCCGTGGCCATAAGCCTGCATTGAAAACGCTCTTGCTCGACGAGATCCTCTGGCACGACGAATTCGTCGTCGTCGAGGCTTGCCTCGTCTTCGAAGGGAGGCATATAATTATCGTCCTGGACCTCTCTGTCTGCCGCTCTCTCATGAGGGCTGGCTTCTCCATCCTCCTGTGCTGAATCTTGCTGGAGGGGGTTTTCTTCGACACTCTCCGGAGTATTATTATGTCCCGTGCTGGAATCACCGTATTTGCTTTGGCGGGATTTTGAGCGGCGCCGCTAACGCCGGCGCTTAGGCTGTTTCTTGGAGGGGTCATCCTCCGCTGTTCCATCGCCATCTCCTTCTTTTGGGGTGTCCACCATGTTTATGTCATATGACGAGGTGGCTTTCTAGGGCCCAATAGGCACTGGTTCTTCATCGTCTCCTGCATCGGCGTCCATACCGTCGATGTCTTCGGAGTCGAAGTCGAGCATGTCGGTTAAATCGTCGACAGTGGCTACAAAGTGGGTGGTGGGTGGGCTTTGAATTTCTTCATCGTCCGTATCCCAACCTTGCTGACCGTAGTCCGGCCAGGGCTCTCCTGATAAAGAGAGAAACTTTAGTGTCTTCAAAATATCACCGAAAGGCGAGTGCTGAAAGATGTCCGCGGCAGTAAACTCCATGATCGGCGCCCAATCGGATTCGATCGGCAGGGGCGTGGAGGGTTCAGAGTCCGGAGAGGAGTCCGACTCCTTGGAGTCATGAGTCTCGTGGAGTGCGGGGCTGGTGTTCGGCTCGATCGCCGTTGGGATCGCAGCCCCCGAGGTGGCGTCCAACCACCCATCCTCGATCGGCGCAGTTGGCTCCGAATTAAGGGTCGAAGCCGATGAGGGTG